AAGATGTGTAGATGTGGTGCTTAGGGACGTGGTTTAGTGGCAGACTTGGCAGTGCTAGGTTAACGGTTGGACTTGATGATCTTGAAGGTCTTTTCCAACCTAAACAATTCTATGGTTCTATAATTCGATGCATATAATACTCATAGTATAGAAATGAGGGAAACAATGAGAAAACCTTACCATGATCGTTTCGGTTATGGCTGGGAATTCTAGTTTGTGTTTCATGGGATGTGTGTTGTCTGACATATCTGAAGATATGCAAACACATTAAACCGCTCTCTTTATATGATTTTTTTTTTAAAAAAAAAGAGAGAGAACTACATTTTAAAAAAGAATCTCTTCAGCAAGTATCATAGTTTTTGGCCAGCTTCAAGTAATGGCTATTATTTCCTTTATCTCTAATTACTATTCATTCGTTGCTTACAGTAACATCACAAATCACGTTCTTTTCTGGTGATTCTCTTCTTGTTTCTGCAGATCACCTTTGGATCAATCTTCCTTGGAAATGTTCCTGTTCATGAAGAGGTTCATCGATGTGCTGGGCAGATACATGGCTATAAAGGATGCATTAGGGATTTTCAAGTTAACAACAAAGAGTTGTTCATCATAGATGAGGCTCTTGGAGGGAGGAATGTTGAGAACTGCAATGTTCCAATATGTGATTATCATCCATGTCACAATGGTGGGATCTGCACCAGGTAAGAGTTACCTTTTTAATGATTTTATCATCTATTTACACTCTGTGGCTGGTAGGTTCATCCTTAATGAGAAATGACTATAATTTTCTGTGTAATGAAGTAATCACCAGTCTTTTGTCCTGATAATATTAAATAGAAAATGTGACATCTTCATGCCTAACCAGAGAGATTTTATACCTTATTTGCTTACATGAAAAGAGATATAAAATGTAATTACATTGCCCACACTGCATACATATTAGGTTGCTGCCAGAATTCCTTTGCGATCAACTAGATCAGTTCCCCTACAAGGCTCAGTGATTCAATCAGACTCTTTGTGTAGATAATTTGGACAGAAACACGTAAGGTCTCATTCTTCTGTCTAACAACTCTTTATCTTACTAGGCCTTGTACCCTCACCCATCTTCATGGTGTGCTCCTGGGCATCATGCTATGAAAACAGTAGCAATTAAGTCAGCACTTTCACCATGTGTGAAGAAGTATTGTCAAAGAACCTTTGAAAGTTAAAGTGCATCATGCTGAAAGAGGAAATGGGGTTCAAAAGAGACACAGGCTAAAAGCACAGAGGATGATGGTTCAGTTGAATGATGGTTCAACTGGAGCACAGTAACTGTTTAAGCAATAGTAACTTGATCATTGTCTAAGGTACTCAGCATTTAGGAACCACATTTCTGTTTAAAATTGGTAGAACTTGTGAAGTAGTTGCCATGACTATTTTAAAAATTGTACTTCATCTTCAAGGCAAATGCTGAACAGAACATAGTCTAAAGTTCTTTGAAAGCTCTGGACTGCTGTGTGTTTCTTAGGTTGAGGAGACCTTGAATCAAAGTTTTGAGGTGCTTCTCTGCCTCTTTTGATTGATGTGAGCACACAAAGAACACCAAACAGGTTTTTGATCTCTAAGCCTTGTTTGACTAGAGCACAAATGAGAACACGGCAGCTTTATGAAAACATACACAGTTTGCCTACCAAACTGGTGAAATTGACTATGTACTTAGGAGTAATGAGTCTGTTTTTCCTCAGTTGTTCCTTGCTATATCTCTGTCATTCTACTGATTGGCCTGTCTTCTACCACTATGGAATACTGTTTCATTTAAAGCTTGGGTCCTGAATAATTCATGACCATTGGATTTGTTTATTGCCTTTCTGCTTTCCAACTGCTGGCCTCAGCCCTTTTCAGAAATGCTTTTGTTCTGAAATGGGCCACTGCTCCTCTGTCCAGAGGAGTCATGGAAGAATGTGCATGTGCAAACCAGGGATAAGCAGCTCTATAGAAGCATGATTTTCATGATTTTCTACAACAGTCAGTGGATTTTCAGGGATCACCTCCAAGCCCAAGAATGATCCATTCCAATGAGCAGGAAATCAAGTGGCAGGAAGCCTGCATGGATGAACAAGATGCTCCTGACAAAACTCAAACATCAACAGGAAGCATACAAGAAGTAGAAGCACAGCCAGGTGACCTGGGAGGAATACAGAGAAAATGTCCAAATATGCAGATATGGGGTTAGCAAAGCCAAAGTTCATCTGGAGATTAATCTGGCAGGGGACATGCAGAGCAAAACCAAATGCTTCTACAAGTACAGCAGCAGCAAAAGGAAGAGTTGAGAAAATGTGGGCTTGCTGCTGAATGAGGCAGGTGTTCTGGTGACAAAGGATCCAGAAAAGACTGAAATACTCAGTGTCTTCTTTGCCTCAATCTTTATTGATAAGACTGACCTTCAGGAATTCTGTTCCTCTCAGACCGGTGGGAGAAAGTTTGGAACAAGGAAGACTTACCCTTGGTGGAGGAGGATCAGATTAGGGAACATTTAAACCAACTGGACATGGGACCTGATGGGATTCACAAATGAGTGCTGAGGGAGCTATCTGATGTCATAGCAAGATCAATCCTGATAATCTCTGAAAGATCAAGGTAATTGGGAGAGGTTCCTGAGGACTAGAAGACTACCTTCAAGAAGGGCAAGAAGGAGGATCTGAGGAACTACAGGATGGTTAGCCTCACCTTGATCTATGGGAAGCTGATGGAGCAAATTGTCCTGGAAATTGTTTCCAAGCGCATCAAGGACAAGAAGGTGGTTGGAAGTGGTCACCATGGATTTATTAAGGGGAAATTGTGCTTAACCAACCTGATAGCCTTCCACAATGAGATGACTGGCTTGATGGATGAGGGGAGAGCACTGGTTGTTGTTTACTCGACTTTAGTAAGGCTTCAACACTGCCACCCATAACATTTTTAGTGACAAACTGATTAAATACTGGCTAGGTAAGTGCACAGTGAGGTGAACTGAAAACTGTCTGAAGGACAGGCTCAAAAAGCACAAAGATCAGCGACACAAATTCCAGATGGAGGCCGATCACTAGCAGAGTACCCCAAGTCTCAATACTGGATCCAATGCTGTTTATCTTCATTAATGACCTATAAGATGGGACAGGGTGCACCCCAGAAGCAAGGGTTAAGTAAGAAGCAAGGAGGAGTGATTGATACACCAGATGGGTCTGCTGCCATTCAGAGGCACCTCAACAGGCTGGAGAAATGAGCCAACAGGAATGTCACATTGTTCAACAAAGGGAAATGCAAAGTCTTGCACCTGGGGTGGAATAACCCCAGGCACCAGTATAGACTGGGGACTGACTGGCTGGAAAGCAGCTTTGCAGAAAAAGGCTTGCCAGTTCTGGTGAACAACTAGTTGACCATGAGTCAGCAATGTGCCCTAGTGACAAAGAAAGCCAACAGCATCCTGGGTTGCATTAGAAACAGAGAGTGGATCAAGGGAGGTCATTCTCTCCTTCTCTTCTCACCTGGTTTGCTGGTTTTCATATGTATGTACACACATTCTTCAGTCAGTTCACAAACTGTCCATATTCAGTAAGCTTCACCTTGCTGGGAAGATCTAGATGCCATGTTTCACATCCAGGTTCTGCAGCTTTGATTTTATACTGTTGACTTGGCAGAATAGAATTTGCTTTTTCAGAGGCTGATCATTCCTCTTAGCTGTCAAGAATGCCAACAAAAACTATCACAACAGATTATCTGTCAGGATCTGGAGGTGTCACTTGGATAGGTTACTAGGTAGTGGTCCTTAGAGGAGCAATTCCTGCATCCCAAAGTCCTGAAGCTTCATTTTGTCCACAGTGTGTGGAACATTCTCTTTCCTAGAGAGTTAAACATATATGTGAGAACAGACTGCTCCATTACTGTATAAAATGTAATCAAGCAAATCACTTCTGCTTTGCTGAGAAGTGTGACAGATCTAAAAGATTCACTTCTTGATAAGTCATCTACCTATCTGCACCAATTTATTTGTAGAGGGTGTAAACAGGGTGGGAAGCTGGGATGTAAATTTGCCTGTGCTAACAGCCATTTTTCAGGAGTACTGGCAGGCCTTTTACACAGACTCTGCCTGACAGAATGCCAGGGTCAGAAACCCCTTTGGGGAATGCTTCAGTTTGCTGTATACCGATTCCATTTTCCACAGGTTTGAGCAGATTGAGGAGATATGGGAAAACAATGACTTGTATGCCTCCTGACCAGCCTTGGCAGATCTGGCTCCAAAATCTCTTTCATCTGGACCTGAACACTCCGCAAAGTTTGTTCCTCTGAATCTGTTGTCTTAAGACCTAAGTTCAGTGCTTCAGTGGGTGAAGGATCTCCTGAAAGGAATGATGAGAGATTCTGTGCTATAGACTCTTCTGTACTTCTTTTCAGGCAGTTCATGCTAATACTAGGAATCTATTTAGGAAATGTGCGTACTGTAACAAACTCTATTCAGTAAATGGACGAATTTTAAGTGTGGTGGGCTTGTTGTCACCTTCTTCCTTCAGTGCTTTGGTTACAAACATCCTTTGGTACCTCTAGTAGCTGAAAGGCACGAGTTTGTCCCCTTACTCCACTTTAATTTATTAATTGCTTTATCCTAACAACTATTTGATTAATTATTTGGTCATCAACCTGTCACATCAGCTTGGTTCACACCATGTCATGTGTGGAGCAGGAGAACTGAAAAGCCAGAGGTGGACATTTTGCGTATAGGTTATGAGGAAAAATTTCCAAGCTTCAATCCCAGTGTTCAAGTGGTGCATGTGGACTATACAACTGTGTTATCTTCAGAAAATGAGTTTATAGTCATGAGACTGCAGCCAATGAGAGCCATAAATAATCTATAGTGTTAAAAATATTCCCATCTGCACCATTAATTGTTCATATGCGTATTTATTACTGTAAAAAAACTTAGTTGTATTTAAAAAGAAAACTTCAGATGCAACAAGTAACAATTTGACAATTCATATAAAACTATTATTGACTTGTTCAAGATTTTTGCCAGTTGTTTCAATTACACTGTTTAGTGGCAAAAAAAAGATTTTTCATTGCATGTTATTCTTCGGGTGCTTGGCAACTAATTAGAGCTTTTGCTTCTGAAAGGCCATGAAGTATTACATAGCAAATATGTCAGCCATGTTTTATAATGAACACTGGAGCTTGTCAACGCATACTGCTGGGCATAGACAGGTGTGTTTCATAAAAAACATTTTTTACAGTCATTCTTAAAAGAAAGTTACTTGCCTTTTCTCATTATCAGAGTACAAAAATACTATTGTAGTGTTGATCTTATTAATTACAATAATTATGCACAAGAAATTGATTTCACAGAAAAAAAATGTTTTCTTCGTATTTTTGGTAGCAAGAGGCAGGGATGAGTGTGTGCCTAGTTTTCAGATACAAAATTTCACAATGCAGCAGGGGCCAACACCTCGCTGTGGTCTGGTCACTGCTTGCATCAGGTGCCAGGGCCTGTCCCACTGCCCCAGCCAGGAGCAGGGCAGCCAGAGGGCACTGGGGCAGCCCCAGTCCCACACATTGGGCACATCTCTAGGGACAGCGACGGGCTGAAGCCAGGCTTGGACACTGGTCCACTGGTGGGGGATCAGGATCAAGCCCAGTGAGGGGAACCAGGGTCAGACACAGGCCTGAGGTGGCCAGGCAGGGCCGTGGTGATGGG